AGTGTGCCTGTTTCCATCATATCAGATAGAGGCCCTCATTTCACTTCACATTTCTGGAGAGCCATATTGAGTGAGTTGGGGACCCGTGTAGTCAGTACAACATTTCATCCACAGATCGACGGGCAATCAGAGCGGACAGTTCAGATATTGGAGGACATGCTAAGAGCATATATGATTTACTTTGGGGGACAGTGGGATCAGTTCTTGCCTTTGGCCGACTTTGCTTACAATAACAGTTATTAGTCTAGCATCGAGATGGCTCCATTTGAGGCTTTATATGGTCGGCGATGTCGTTCTTCCATCGGGTGGTTTGAGCCCGGAGAGGCTAAGTTAGATGGTACTGATTTGGTAAAGGATGCCTTGGAAAAGGTAAAGTTGATCCAGGAGCTACTTCGCACAGCACAGTCCAGACAGAAGAGCTACGCGGATCAGAAGGCGCGTGATGTATCATTTATGGTCGGAGAGAAGGTTCTCTTGAAAGTCTCGCCGATGAAGGGTATTATGAGATTCGAAAAGAAGGGCAAGTTGAGCCCAAGGTTTATAGGCCCATTTGAGGTGTTGAGGCGAGTTGGAGAGGTTGCTTATGAGCTTGCTTTACCTCCCAGCCTATCATAGGTTCATCCATTTTTTCACGTGTCAATGCTCTAGAGATATCACGCGACTTGTCTCATGTGTTAGACTTCAGTACTATTCAGCTAGATGAGAGCTTGGGTTATGAGGAGGAGCTAGTAGCTATTGTTGCTAGACAGGATTGCCAGTTGATATCCAAGAGGATTTTCACGGTAAAGGTTCAGTGGAGGGGCCAACTAGTCGAGGAGGCGACCTGGGAGTTTGAGGAGGACATGCGGAGCAGATATCCACACTTATTCAACACTTCATGTATGAATCTAAACCCGTTTTAGGACGAACGTTTGTTTAAGAGGTGAAGAATGTAACGACCGGACCGGTCGTTTTACTTTCTAGAACCTCGTTCCCCTAAATAAGACATTTTGTACTTGCTTTTACTAATTTATGACTTGTGGGGACGGTTAGTCGGGATTTGGAAGAGTTTGGGTTGAAATCGGAACACTTGGTTCCTTAAGGTTGACTTAAAAGTCCAAGTTTGACTTCGGTCAACATTTTGAGTAAACGACCTTGGAATCAGGATTTCATGGTTCCAATAGGTTCGTATGATAATTTTGGACTTGGGCGTTTGTTCGGATCGGGTTTTGGATGACCCGGGAGTGTATTGGCGCCTAATAGTGAAAGTTAGTTCTTGAAGATTTTGAAGTTCTTTAAATTTGGTTTGGATCGGGTTTTGGTGATATCGAGGTACGAAATGAATACCGAGATCAAGAATACTTCCGTAATGTCATTTTAGACTTGCACACAATATTTGGTGTCATTCCGAGTAGTTTAAGTATGATTCGGCGCATTCGGAGAATTTGGAAAACTTGAAGTTCAAACTTTGATTCAATTTGGTCTTGAGGTATGATTCTTAGTTTCATTGTTATTTTTCGTGTTTTGAGAGTTCGAGCAAGTTCGTATATGATTACAGACCTGTTAGTGCCTTTGGACGCGGTTCCGAGTGGCTCGAGTGAGTTCGGACCCCTCTGAGCAAAGTATGAGAAACCAGAAATTGGAACTGGGGGAAAATGTGCTAAGCGTTCGCGATAGCTTGTCCGCGTTCGCGAAGGTCTGGGTCCGATGACCTTTGCGTTCGCGTGAGGTGACTCACATTCGCATCGAGTAGCCTGGGCTGGGCTGGGCCGCTTTGTTCTTCGTGTTCACGAAGGGTCGGCCAAGCTAGCGTTCGCGTTCGCGAGACCTTCGCCGCGTTCGCGATGTAGAGCCTCCAGGGGGTCTAAGCCTTTGCCTTCCCGAAGGCAAGGCCCCTTCCGCATTCGCGATGAATGAAGCAGCTGGGCAGTGAGTTTTAAAAATGGAACTTAGGTATTTTTGCGGGTCATTTATTACACTCTTGGGCCATTTGAGAGCTTTTAAGGAGGGGATTTCGATATAGCTTTGTGAGGTAAGTAATTTCTCCCAAATGTGAGTATAATACATAGTTTATGGGTAGATTATAACATGTAAATTAGTGAAAATCATGGGTTTAGAGGAAAACCTAGGTTTTTGATAAAAATGGAATTTTGCCACGAAAATGATTATGGAACTTAGTGAAAATCATATATTTATGTTCCTAAGGTTATGGGTAACGACTTTCTTCGAAAATTTTCGGAATTTAGGAACGTGGGCCTGGGGATGAATTTTAGGAATCTTGCAATTAGAGTTGGGAAACTACTTTAATAGTTGGGACATGAACTTTTAAACCTATATTGATTAGTTTTTACACTATTTGGATAGGTTTGGATTGTTCAGCACCCAAATTGAAGGCTTGCGCATAAACTTGGACCGGAAAGTAGGCTTTGAGACGAGGTAAGTCTCTTTTCTAACCTTGTAAGAGAGAAATTTCCCCATAGGTGAACTTAATTAATATGTGATTATTTGTGGGGGCTACGTATGCACGAAGTGACGAGAGTCCGTATGTAGCTACTATTCCTATTTTGTTCGGGTAGTTTTAGGCTTACATCATGCTTTGTGGATACCGTTATCGGAACATAATTGTTGATTTGCATTGAATGGAACTAAGTTGAGGACTTTAGATTTCAAAGGTTTCAAGTAAATTATTATTTTGAAAAGAATTGAGAAAAGTTACGTTATATTTATATTTAACCGCGTCGCAAGTATATTCTGCGAGCGGGGTGACTATTTTCACTACTCTCATGGGAGCGGGTCGTTCGCCTCAGCAGCTTAATAGATGCATATATGGTTCGTGACGTTCGACCATCAGCAATGCACAATTTACATTTTATGTTGGATCGAGCCGAACGTCCTCGGTGGAATTTGTGTGTGATAATAGAACTGGAAGCCCTTTTTATAATTGGTATAAATTTACTTTTTTAGAGATCATTTATTTTAAATGAAGGAAGTGTTTTGGGTTCTTAAATATGATGAAAGAATTGTTCAGTTATTTCTTGTTCTAAGTTTATTGTTAGCTCTATATATCATGCTTTATCAGAATCACATATTATTATATTGTTGGCCCTAGTAAGTGTCGGAGTCGACCACTCGTCACTACTTCTTCAAGGTTAGACTAGATACTTACTAGGTACATATTTTTATGTACTCACGCTACACTTTTGTACTTGATTGAACAGGATTTGAGGCAGGTGCATCTGGTCACCATTACGGTGTACGAGACTTGATTCTCCAGCTCGAGACTTCCTGGTGAGCTGTCGTTTTGAGCCGTTCTGCAGTAGCTAGAGTCTCTCTTATGCTTTTTTTTCTATCTATTTCCTTTCAGACAGTAGGCTAGCATTCTTTTGTATATTCTACTGGATTGCCCATATACTTGTGACACCAGGTCTTGGCATACTCACTAGTAGACTTATGATTTTGGTTTGCTTACATGATTACGATTCGTACTTATTGCTCCCATTTACTTATGTTACACTTGCAAATTTCTAAATATTTTAACAAATAAGGAAAAGTTATCACTTACTAATTTATGTAAAAATGGGAAATCACTAGTTGATCAGTGTTGGCTTGCCTAACGACGGTGTTTGGCGCCATCACTGCCTATAATGGAATTGGGTCGTGACATGAAGTGTTTGGAAAATCTTATAGGGTAGTAGGTCGTGGTTTTTTCACCTTTTGAGCCAGATGTTTTCCATGTGAAAATCATTGTGTTCTTATTTTCTTTATTCCTCGACTGTAGTGTATGAAATACATAAAAGAATCAGGTCCTTCGATAATCTAGTGCACGTGAAAATTGGACACTACACGAATCACCCTCCTTTTATGTGGTATTGAAGTATAATTTGACCTTGGCTGGCATTTTGCTTCAAATAGTTGGTTCCTTCTCTCAGTTGACTTCCGAAAATAAACTCAAAATTGAACATTAGTGTAACATCTAAATTTCTTGATTTTTTACCAAGAAAATGAAAAAATTGACAAACTACATAAAGGTTTTGTCCTATATAGAGTTTAGATTTTTGGAAATGATAAAAAATTAAATAAATTTGTGTTTGACTAATGTGTATTTCATCTTTTAGGGTCTGTTTTGAAGACAATCAGGTAACTGAAATTTTTGTAATTATTAGGATAGTAATTATACAATCTAGTAATTACACCGTATTGTAATTACGACGATTAGTTTGTTTGTTATAATGTAATTACAATATAATTACAGGCGTGCTGTTTTGTTGCACAAGTGTATTTATACAGTTAGATTATATTTTAAAAGAAATAATTATCAAAATTTGAAATTTAATATAAATTATATTGGATTTTATATTTAAGATGCATATTTTTTCTTAAATAAATATTAGTTAGTAATCATATATTTATAAATAATATTGTAAAAACAACTGTCATATATTTTTTTAATTAATAATATTTAGTTTAATTAATTATAAAAACTAAAAACATACGTCTTGTGAGAACATTATGGAATGCATGTTTGATAAAATAAATTAATATTTATAAATATAATGTCATAACATTATTCGAGTATTTGACAAAACTAATCAATCAATTCTAACTAAAAAAGAACAACATGCAATGTGAAATAACAAGACAATACTATTAAAACAACTAAATATGAACTATAAATATAACACTATTTCAAAATCCAAAAAATTAACCACACGTCAAATTCCAACGTAATAAAAATAAGGCGAAACGGCTTCCTGGCCACTCAAACTTGTAGGGCTTTTGAAAGCCGATATATAAACTTTTGGTTTTCCCATTTAAACACTTAAACTCCTGAAACCTATAACTAATAAACACATTTGACCGTTGACCCATCCCATGTGGCGTCAGTTGGTCCTAGTCAGCCCCTGCGTGAATGTCACGACTTTTAGGAGCGTGAAGACCCCCTTCCCAACGCCCAATGAAGTTCAGTCTTTAACGTTCTCCAATGAAATACTATAAAACAGTACTATTATTTTATATGGGTAATAAGGTAAAGATTCGGCAGTTTGCAGCACAAAACTCAAAAGTGGGGAGCAAAGAAAGGAGCTTCATATTCAAAGCATACGCCACCAGGATGTTTGATTGTGATTGACAAAGTGTGATGGAGTTTCTCCCTATGTTTATGTCATGAGGCTGAATGAATCAACTCTATGTAACAAGAAAGCATTCAGTCAAGATTTGCATACTGACATCTCACTCCCCTCTTGACATTCAAGTAAAGAAATTAACCATCTTTATAAGAAAAACTGTCTTTCTAGTTGGAGTAGCAATGTACAAACTCTATTAGGATACACTTCCTCTCGGTTCCAAGAAGATTCTTGAGAGATAAAATGGGTATTGCTACTGTGGATCTGATATCATAATGTGGAGAAATCAGGAAAGCAAACATAAAACTCCATAGGTAAGCTTCAATATATGCAGGGAAATTATAAAATACAGAAAAAACAAACCTCAGTTCGAGCAATGGTAAATAAAGCGTGAGGAGTGTTCCTATAAGCCGGGACGTTCGAGATTCTTCCATCGTAAACTATGATGTTAACATTTACGTCAAAATCAAGGTCGAAATTACAACACGAGATCATACATTTTGCTATATAGCATAAAAATCATAGAGACAATTACCTTGGAACCTGGTACGAACAACGTCAAGGGGATGAGAGAAAGTGACGGTGGCGATGCCAGCCACGGCGCCGGCGGTGGCGTTTTCCCACTGCCAGTCTGCCGACGCCAGACCTGCCATCTTTTTCATGGCTTCGCGCGTTGGCTTCCCCTCTCCCCCAAAATACAGGTCTTTGATTCATTATCACAATCTGGAAAAAGAAAAGAGGGGGACCCAATCTATTGGGTTTAATTTCGTGCCATTGACGTTTACCGGTCTAATTGATCATATGCTGACTGGATGGACACGTTAGCGAATGTGTAATACACGCACCTAGGGTCAAGGATAAAATGTGTTTATTAGTTATAGGTTTCAGGAGTTTAACTGTTTAAATGGGAAAGCCAAAAGTTTATATATCGGCTTTCAAAAGCCCTACAAGTTTAAGTGGCCAGGAAGTCATTTCGCCTAAAAATAAGTTCCAATAATACAACTTAAGATTAAGAAACATAATAAGTTTATAACCTCATTCAACATCGAAATTCAACTCTAATAACATCACTCATTGTGTGCCAAGTTTGATAATGACTCATTATTTTTAATATTAGGAGATGTAGTTTCAAAAACTAGAATAATAACGTAATTACTAGTTACGCTAAATGAAGAAAATAAAATAAATAAGAAATATAATATACGAGGAATTACATAGAATCTCAAGAAGTAAAGGTAAAGAAATAAAAGATAAATAATGTACAAAGAAAAATATATTTAAAATTTAAAAAAAATTAAATAGTAGAATTTAAATAATAGAAATAAATAGTTATACAAAATAAATTAAAATAAAAACAAAAAGGAAAGAAATTAAAAGGTAAGACTGTAATTACATGTAATTACCTTCTCCAATTATACTCAATTTTATGTGACTAATTAATTACTTGGCAAGACAAAAATATCAAACTTTCTAATTACACCTAAATTCATTTCCTACGTGGCTTTCTCTTAAAATTAACGTGGGCGTAAATGGTGGGACAGATGTATTAATTAACACTTAACACCAGTGATGAAATGATTCCTAATTAAATAAAAGTTCCGATTCCTAAAACAAGAAGTTACGGAAGCTGGTAACCAGTCACTCTCACGTGGGAGTTATTAACACCTCTGAATAATTGAATATGCGTTGAAAATTTTGAGAAAAATATTCTGTGGTTGAGATGAAATTGTCAACTAAAAGCCTTTTTGTCCATGTCCCACAAGCCATAGACCCAAGTATATCCAAAGTTGTACGAAATTCCAATGTAATGGCACGGAAAATGTTCATTAGAAAGATACTATTTGTTTTTTCAATTTTTAACAATATCCTATCTTATTAGCCTCTCCGTACGTCCATAAGATAAAGTAGTTTTTAGATTTGACCCAAAACAATAATAAGATTAATTAGTTTGTTTTAGTCTTTAATGGTTCAATAGGTCCCACTAATGAGATTATGCATCAAGCAATCACGTCTGCAGAGCTTGGACTGTATATATCTACGATCTACAATTTATTTTGGACTATATATATCTACGATCTACAATCTATCTATTTATATCTATCTATATTATTATTATAAAAATACGGATATTTTACGTTAAATATTGAACGACGAAAATATTCTAAAATATTGATTGACTTTTATATCCTTATTAGACTAAAATACTTATTAAGGAGTTAATTCAATATTGGATAAAATTGTCATATTTAAGATTTGCCTAACCTTTATGACTTTGAAGTCAATTAAGGTTCTGTCACTTTTATACCTTTAACCGCTCAAATTGTTTTTCGTGAGGATTCATACTCCTCTTATTTACGTTTTACAAATTGAACGTGCAATAATATTAGAATTCTTTTCAAAAGTTTAAATCTTTTTGGAGACCAACCGATAAAGACTCCAGTTACAAACCAAAAACGGTTAAGTAATAGGATGCTATATAACCATAGTCGTCCAATAGACCCCTTTCTCAACCTTTCTTTTCCAAATAAATAGAACGAAAATGAAAAGAAAAAAAAAACCATTTGATTAGGGTATTATAGTTTCACGCCAACAATGTTAATGCGAAAATTGCATGATAGAAATTAAAAGGGATCTTAGCTAGCAGAAATGTATATATTGATCAACTAAATAAAAGGTTGATTGTGAAATTTTATGGTAAAAATAAAATATTTTTTAGTTTTTAACTCAGCAGAAGATGATACCAATAATTACTACCAAGAGAAATACTTAAATACTTTAATACCAAATGAC